GTTGATGCTTTCTAACTTTGGTGATGGGAAAGACTCCTGAGAAACTAAGGAAATGGGGTCGCTGCCAACCATCCACCCAGAGCTCTCCCTTGAGGCACAAATAGCAAAACTCAGGTCGCATCTGGGACGCCTTCCGCAAAGGCCCCGCTCTCTGGAGCAGGCGGCAGTGACGGGAAGGGTGGCAGGAGGGAAAAGGGGATAACCGCAGCAAGATGGGGGGACGTGGCTGTCGCGGGGGCTTGGGAAGTCCCGAAGGACCAGGCTTGAACCTCCTGCAGAGACTCTATCCAAATCAGGAAGGAGACCTGACAGCATTCTGGGCAGCCATCTGACGGGAATGGTCTAGGGCAGGGGTAGGTCACCTCGGCTCTTTTATGACTCGTGGACTTCAACTATGCTGACTCAGGAATTCTGGGAGTTGAAGTCCACCAGTCATAAAAGAGCCGAGGTGGCCTACCCCTGGTCTAGGGTCTCCTGCCTGAGCAGGGCGTTGGACTAGAAGACCTCCAAGGTCCCTTCCAACTCTCTACTACTGTTCTATTATTTTGGTTGCTAAGAATTGATATCAACTTGATGGCATGTAATCAATCAATCAATCACCTAATTTAATGCACCTTTGTTGTGATGAGAAAGTTTCCAAGAAAAAAAATGGTTTCCCAAAGACACACTAATATTTAAAGTCTATCCAAACCTTGGATCAACAATGCAGGAAAGCTATGAACCTTTTATCTTAGTGGTTTATTTAATGAAACCTAAAGTTCAAATACAAATCACACAGTGTAGAATATAGCTAGAGAAACAGTCATAAAAGTGAATAAAAGCAGTTTGTGGTTAAGACTTAATCTTCACTGAATAGTTTATTCTGGTTTTTAGAGAAGTCACAACGTTCACAAGTGGTAGCTGGGGAATTCTGGGACTTGAAGTCCACACATCCTTAAATTGCCAAGGCTGAGAAACAACGTTGCTGCAAACCAACCAACCAGAAATCTCAGCGGGGTTTCCCTAACATTTCTCTCCGGGGGGGGGGGGGGATGAGACACCGCTTGGCCTGTGGCCACACAAAAGCCAGAGCAATTCACCAGCTACTAAAAAGCACAGCATCCAATTCAACTGGAATGGATTCATACCTTCCTCTTCACAAATTAAAGCTCACACCCGGGAGAATTCGGCCGCTATTGTCAGGAAAGCCTGACCCTGCTTGATGCTTGAAGAAAAAGGGGAGAGCTTTTGTTGACGTGCTCTTGAAAGCCATCAGGTTGCCACAAGACTTGAGCCAACTACGCTCTCCTCCTTTCAGGCTCGGAGAGGCTTTTCAGACTCACCCATGGATGGCCTGTTTTAATCCTCTAGCATGGAAAACACAGCCCTTTCAAGACCCAACTTCACTGGGGGGGGGGGGAGAGAGGGGAGCTGTTGTGCTCAGGGAATTCACCCATTCTGGGGAATCAAAAGGCAGCCACTCTCCATACAGTAATCGGCATGTTTTCCACTATGAAAGCCTAGGGACGCCCTTTCAGAGCTCGCCTCTTATCCATTACAATCATCAACAAATAACCAAATCAATACAGGCCAGAACACAAAAACACGGCGCCTCCCTCCCACACACAGACACACACACAGACCCCCGCCTGCCCCAACCTCGGTTCGTTTATTACTGCTCTTCTCCTTCCTTGAAATCTCCTTCAAGAGAGGAAAGCAGATTTTCAACATTCTTCTTAAACTGGGCAGATGTTGTGTGCATCACTTTAATTCCTTGCATTTTCATTTCGGCCCCAGAACCGACTTGAGCTCGGCTTCTTCAGGGAGGCATCTCCAAATGCTGCAAAGTGGACGACGGGAGTTTGGCTTGCCTTGCGCACTCGGGGCGCTCAGAAGTGTCGAGGCAGTTCGCGTTCGGAACTGTTGCCTCCTTTGGAGCTGGGCCCAAAGTCACAAAGAGTTTCAGAGCGTTTGGTGTGAACCCCGTAGACACACAAGATTGCCTTTAAAACACACCAACCTATTCTTATCAGTAGAGCAGGCATAAACATAATCCTGTAAAACACAACTTTCTTCAAGGCATATGTTGCAAATATATTTTGCTAAACCAGATTTCTTTTCTGCTTTACTTAGGGGAGTGAAGGAATATTTGCAAGAGGTTAATTTTAAGACAGGAATGTAATCAGTCCCATTTAAAAGGAACTGTATTTTACAGTGTTATGTGCATCCTACTTTATACAGAATGGGGAAGATAGAGAAAAACTAGTGTCTTGAAGTAACCCTTAACTTGAACAAGATCTGTTCTTCTGTACTTTGAGGACAAAACTGGATATATGAAATCACAAAATTGGATACACGAAATCAGTTAAAATCAAAAGAAAAAACAAAAACCCCACAACCTAGAGGCAAACAGTTTGGGGCATGGGAAGTTAATTGACTGCTGCCTCTCTCAACCCAATTCATTCCCCCCCCTGCAAAGTGGCCGAGTTCAGTAACAATGCAGAAGGGCATCCAAAGCAAGAGAGGGACGGCTTCCATTCTTCTAGCTCTCTTGAATTAATTAACTGGAAATGGGTTTTGTCAATGTTTTGGAAAGGCAGGGGGTGAAAAGAAATGGGTAGAATTAATCACAGTGAGAAACTACCACTTAAAACTTCCAGAGCTCAGAAACAGCGCATGAGAAGCAAAAATTAAGACAAGGGGAAGTGGGTTTCCTTACCAAGGAAACGAATAAAATTCAAACAAGCATCCAGTTCTCTAAAAACAGATCAGGCCACCAAGCTCCCTGCCTGCTGCAGCCCAGTTTCAGTACTTAATTCCCTTCGGAAAAGACAAACAAAGCCCCCCAAATGCAAGTGGTACTTATGGCTGTTCCGTCTTAAAAACATTTCAGCTTTTTGCATTTTTGTAGAAGAAACAGGTATGGCAAACAAGCACTAAGAAATAGTTGGCGGTAAAATGAACTAGGGCACATTTCATCCCTTCAGGCAGCGGCTTTTTAGACTCATCTAAATGGCCACAAAAAAATCTAGGAGTGAATCCAACAGGCCTTTATTTCTATTTCTAAGCCTTTTTCAAAATGGGAGCTTGCATTTTCAGCACGTGGGATCTCCCCTTCTTTCAGAAAAGACTTGGGGAAAACTTACACAGGAGTTAAATGCAAATACTTTCCTCAATGAGTACTTAAATACAGGCCACAAACAGCTGTAGATCTGGTACAGTTTTCATCTCTGTGTAGTTTTGTTCCCTCTGGAAGGGATGAGGATCTCTTCATTTGTGTCCTTATTTCTCACTCAGCCAGTGAGCACGGTAGGAGGAGAGCAGTTTTAATCTCTTGCAGCCAAAATTCAGAAGAGCCCTGGTGGCACCTGTTAGGATTAACCACACTGTACTAAAAGGCAGAAGCCTTAGAAAGTTGCAGCTCTCTTCATCGGAAGTTTAACCAATGTAGGACCGATTGGAGAAGAGTGAAGAGGGGAAAGGGAGGGAAAGAAGAGAGTGGTGATGCAGTTGGAAGCATCAGTCACAAATTGCATTGCGTTACCAGTAGAATCTCTCTTGAGATTCTATAGAAAACTACTGAGTGATGGAAGCTGTAAACAACATCTGTAAAACCCACAGTTGCAAATGAATGTTTCAGAAAAAAGTAGTTTCCATGTTCCTTGTCTTAACTCCAATACTCCCATAACACTAATGCATTTCTTTTGACTTATTTTCAAAAAACTGTCTCAAAACACCACTTAAAAGTTCATCTGATCTTTTATTGATCTCACATCTAGAACAACATATATTTCCTTTAGGGGAGGGGAAAAGTCTTTTGCAGGTAGCAACTTATGGATCTGGCATCTGTTTCACAGATTTTAAAACCAACTTCTGACCTCTCGACTCTATTTTCAGCCCCAGGCTCTCAAGGGCCGGGTTATCCGCAGGGCCCTGCTGCTCCATCCGGGCAATGAACTCCTGGTTCCTCTCGTTCTCTTCTGTCAGGTTACGAATGGCGTAAACCGCCCACTGGCTTATGACTGTTCAGCAGCGTCAAGGAATTTCTGCAAGTTCATTTTGCTGTAAGCTAAAATATGGGGAAAGCGTAGCATAAATGCACTGATTAAGCAAGTAGCATTATTTATTTCAACTATTTTTAAAAAGCTCATTCACAGAGGGTTAGGATTAGAGGCTGAACTGAGCACAGCCTGTGAAAAGGTGCATTGCAGAATTAAGATCAATATCATATATTTACAAATATGTAGCAATAAAATAAACTTTTAGGAAACAGAAATCCTTCCATATCTTTACAGGATCACTTTAAGAACAAGCTACTAGAAGGATGTCAAAGTTTATGCTAGTACTCTAGAGCCTAAAATGAAATGGGTTTAACCACAGAAATGAGATTTACAGCACTATTCTATATATGTCAACCAAAATATAAACATCGCTGTACTTAACACCATTTACTTTAAAAGTCTGCAAGATCACAGCTGCAGAACAATAAACCCAGACATAGATAAGTGTTTTTCCCGCTTAAATTTTAATGGCTTTTCCTTTCTTCTCTGCATCATTTCAATCAGAATAGAGCTAGAAAGGACCTTGGGGGTCTTCTAGTCCAACCCCCGCTCAAACAGAAGACCCTATACCATTTCAGACAGGCACCTGTCCAGTCTTTTCTTAAAAACCTCCAGTGATGAAGCATCCACAGGTTCTGGTGGTAAGCTGTTCCACTGGTTAATTGTTCTCACTGTCAGGAAGTTTCTCCTGAATTCCAGGTCGCTTCTCTCCTTGATTAGTTTCCATCCATTTTCTTGTCTTGCCTTCTGATGCTTTGGAAAATAAGTTGACCCCCGTCTTCTTTGTGGTAGCCCCTCAAATACTGGAATACTGCTCTCATGTCACCCCTAAGTCCTTCTTTTCTCTAGACTGGACATACCCAGTTCCTGTTCTTCATATGTTTTGGTCTCCAAGCCTTTAATCGTCTTAGTTGCTCTCTTCTGCACTTTTTTCAAAGTCTCAACATCTTTTTTGTAATGTGGTGACCAAAACTGGATGTAGGATTCCAGGTGTGGCCTTACTAAGGATTTATAAAGCAGGTATTAATACTTCAAGTGATTTTGATTCTATGCCTCTGTTTATTTCATTGATTGTACTTTGCATGAATACCTTGAAACATATTTCTGTAAAATAAAATATATAAAATATATTTTTAAAAAATTATCAAGACATATTTGCTCAGGACATTAAGAAGTAAGATAGCCTTGAACAATCCTTTCATGGTGGTCCCCTTTGAGCAAAGTTGAAGGCAGACATTAGGCAGAGGTTTAATCATTTCCATTATCATTGATAGAAACTATTTTCTGAGCATATCCATTAAAACTACTTACGGAAATGCTACAAGCGAAATGTTATGTCACAAAATATAATTTCTCTTAGTGCACCTACAGAAGAAGGAATTCTGACTCACAAAGCAGAGTGCCTGGAGGGCATCAATTATTTGCTACGTGTAGCTTCACATCTAGGAGAAAGCTATGCATAATTCACTCGGATCCTTCATATTTTCTTGCTAAGTTTCATACGGCCATTTGCCTACAGGGCGACTTAGACAACAAGGCTGTCTAAGTCTGGGTGGGGCAAGAATGCCAAATAAAATGAGAATAAAACCTATAGAAATTTGGGAGAATGTGGATGGTTAATATTGCTTGTAAAGCTGACAAATCCAAGTACAAAGTTGGATCTTTGAATTGATAAGACTATTTATTTATAGTGTTTGTTTCCCGTATTCCAAGAGCAGAGCACCAGAGAAGTATAAATAACTTGTTTCCAGACAAAGAAAAATAGTTTTTAGCACTTTAAAAATTTAATATTAAGCAGTAAATCTATATAATAAATGTGTCATTTTTAAGTGGCACAAGGGCCTTTGATTTGGTCATGAGAGATTAACACAATTTCTTTCAATAAATTGAGAATGCAGTTCACCTTAAAAACATTAAGAAAATAATGCCGATCTGATGCAGCACCTAGTAAAAAATACAATGGACGAGAAATCACCTGATAAAAGTCAAATGCATTTCAGTGATTATGTCTAACGTAACTTAAGAATACCTTTGCAGATTATTTAGCAATTAAATAAATTTCTTTGTGCTGGTCCATGACCGTAATAAAAATTTGATGATGAGAGAGATTTCCAAGAAACGGTCATCACCGAAAACCAAGACGGGGAAAAAAGCCCGGTTGGGTTCCCTGGCGCTCTCTCAGCTTCGCTGTTTTCTTGCAAACATTTCATTACCTGGCACTGGTGATGTTACCTAGATGGGTAATGAAACATCTGCAAGAAAACAACCAGGCTCAGAGAGCACCAAGGACCCCCAGCTACAAATATTCTCTTCTAGACTCCCATATAGTTCAGTCCTGATCCCATAACCGTACACTGCCATTATTTCACTGGCTTGAGTACGGCTTTCAGAATGAATTTTTATTAGGACTTGTTTAAAAAGTCACTATTGACAATAGTTACAAGAGTGACAATACTAGTACTGTCACCTTTAATTTAAAAATGAGAGACCAATAGCCAAGATAATAAGGTATACATCAAATACGGTAGGTAATTTATTGCCCACTGAATTTCTACGTATATAAGTTTAATGATTATTAAACAAGAAATAAGAGATAAATCTCTCACTAACATCTAATACAGCTCTTGTTGCTTCAGCTTGGATTTATATTTTACGTCAAAATGAATATAACAGACATCATAGTAAGGAGCGTATTATTTCAATAACATTTAGAGTTGGATTATAATCAGCGTTAGATATATATGAATTGGTCCTTCTTTATAACAAGCACCAAATGCACCCTCATTTAGCCAGAAACTGAAAAATGCCATCTTTTGCCATCAAACAGCATAAACTAGGAGGCTAGACAAACAATCTAGTCCTGTTGTTAAGAAGAAGAAAAACCCTCTGAATATTTGTAAGGCCTGAAATCTTAACTCAAGGGCATTGTAAATAATATTATGAAATAATATAGATGCTAACAATAGAAAACATAGGGAATAGCTTATCTATTCATGTTATTCTCTTTAGTCTACTCCGAGGAAATTTGCCAAGTTTCTTTAAAAAGGGATTTGGGTGTTGTAGCGGGTTTATAGCTTTTTTTTTTCTTGTGCAACTTTCCAATTCAGTGTCATGAATATGCATGATTTTCCTTAATCCACTGCGTGAGCCGTGAGCCAGGGACCTCTGGATGGCACATAAGACACAAGTGTCACAGGAGATTAAACAAAGCCCTCGGTTAATATTCACATTACCCTCTTGTTCTTTTTCAAAAGATAGATAGAAGATTGAACATATTCTGAAGTCTATAATCCAACCAACACTTTAAGCCCTTTATTGTATATGCAGCTTTTTAAAGGGTGCTTCTAAAGTTTCCATAGTTACAACAAACAGGAGTCTATTTGTTGCCAAATGCAACAAAAGAAAATAAAACATAGCAATCACTGTAGCTTCCATTTGACCCATTTGCTTTGGATTTCTTAAAGAACGGGAACACAATGCAGCATCACGATGAACCTGGTTAATGGTATGATAAGCTGACCGTTCCTTTTTGCCAAAAGATGCTCTCTGCCAATACAGGAGGAGAAAAAAAGCTCTTACAAAAACAGCCTAATTTCAGGTCCCTGGTTTAAGCTACCATCTTAATAATACTGCAGAGGGAGATGCAATGCTAATTTGCGCCATTCAGAAGAACCCTTTTGATATTTTTCACAGTTTCTTAGGATTGTAGGAAATATTTTTTCTTACATACAGTAATCTAGAAAAACGTTCAGCATCCTCCACATATCTGGCCAAATCAAAACTTGGTGAGAAGGAACCATTATTAAGTGAGGCAAAGCAATTATATTAAAAAAAAGGCAAAATGCAGGGGTTATTAAAACAGAGATGAAAAATAAAATGGCAAATACTTTCATATTTTTACAGTAGTTGTAGGTGGCCACCACACTCGTTACAACATGTCCAATCCTGGACAAAACAGAAAATGGATCCCAAACCACCAGATTAGGCGGCCTCCTCTGCCAAACCTATTTAACTCAGGGAAAAAGGGGGCACAAGAGAGGAACATTATGGAGGAGTGGAAGGAAGACCGGCCTCCCGTCCTGTGGGGAGAGGAGCCCGGGCTAGCCAGGACTTGGAGCCCCTGCACACAACGCCTCTGCCTCTGCTCAGAGCTGCTTCGGAGCTTGGGCACCATCGGACGTGTGGACAGCCACGGAGATGGCAGCAGCAGCTTCCAAAGGGGGCTCTCAGCCCAGGCCCACCAACGTTCCCCGCTCCTCCCAGGCTCCGGGCAAGCTCTGCCTCTGCTCAGCCTGCCGTCTTGCCCTCCTCGGAGGTCCTGGCAGAACAGGACACGAGGCCAGAGAGCCCATGGTCTGGGCCAGCGGCTCTGCAGGCTTTGAGGGTAAGAGGGCACTGGCCAGGTTTCCTTTGTGGTCGACAGGCCTCCATGCTGCAGGAGAAGGAAAGCAGAGCAGGGGAAGGAGACGGAGGGCCCTTGTGTGCTGGAATGGTAGGAAGGTGAGATTTCTCCAGCCTGGAGCACTAAAAAAATATGCCCATAATATGCTACCTGCAGGCTTGCTTCTCTCACCAGCAGCACCTCCCCCAAACACACACACACACACACACACACACACACACACACACACACCGACTGCTCACACAGGGACGGCACAACATCTGTAAGGATAATCTGGGTTTATGTCTTTGCTTCACTTTAGGATTTTTTGGAGTCACTTCGGAGTTTGAGAAGCTGCTCATCTCTGACACAGTCAAGAAAGGAAATTTCAGTTTGGAAAGAGTGATGTTAACAAGAATTCAAGGTTAACCAAATACTTGGAAAGAAAGATTCATAGTGATAATTCAGAACAATTAATTGTTTTACATCTCTTAGATTAAGGCAACTTTAGATACGAAGAGGTTTCTTTGAAGCTCTGTCAAATTTGTAAGTTTCCAGCTTTTAAAAGGAAAGTCAAGCCTATAATGCTAGTTTAAAACCAAAAAAATGATGCACATACAATCTTGCCACAGCAGCTGCCCATATTTTCAAGTGACATTTTTAATCGAAACCTATAATTTATATGTAACTGAAAATCCTTTGCGTTTAAAAATAGGGAAGAAAAATCACACTCTTGGACAATATAAAGCCAAACATTCCATGCCTATGATATTCAGTTTTAGAAGCTATTTTTATTTCCACCAGCCCCTCTTTAATGTTCTGGAGGACTGTGCCCAGATAGGTTCCGCTACTAAAAATTCTGCACATTGCTACATTTTTCAAAAAAGAAAAAAACACCCTTCAACTATTACTGCTTTACTATCTGAAATGCAGCACTTAAAAATATAATGGCGCAAGATGGCATTGAAATACCACCTAATACAGTACGACCTGGCTATCTCCAGAGCCAGCAAGATCCTATGTCTCCCTTCAGTTCACACTTCCGAGATACACGCAACTCCAGCGCTGCTGCTCTTTCTGTACTGCGACAGATTTCAAACACATTCTTCAAAATCCGTGGGAAAGCATCAGAACATGTTACCTGATAAATAGTTGCCTGCACAGACAGATGGGCTAGGACAAAATTGTTTCAAATGATTGTCATGATGTTAAATGAGGGTTTTATGCACTTCAATACTGCCATAAAAACATAAAAGTCCAAGATGATTTAATAAAAGGCAAAAGAATACAAGAATACAAATAACACAGATTATTTGGGGGAAATATCCTGCAGAATTGTGAAGGAAGAATGCAGATTACAACTGCTGTTTGGATTTTTTTTTTTTTTGCATTGTTTAATACTATATGCCCCCTGGTTGGTTGGATTTAATTAGCATTATTATCCCGAGGATGCTGTTTCAGAAAGGATGCGGTTACATCTATAAGTAGGTTCTCCCATCGACCTGTTTATACCCTGACGATGATGGCAGTTACAGGCCATCGAAAGCTTGGTTTTATTTATTAAAGCTTTATTGTTTATATTTCCTGGGGGTCGCTTTTTGTCTATATATATTCAGCATTCTATCCAAGGAAAAGCTGTTGGTGTAGCAGATCTCCAATAACCAGTGCAGAAGAGACACCACAGGTTTCCCTTGCGCAAATGTTGTCCCTTTTGGTCCCTTCTAGGGGGCGGTCAGCAGCCTGATCACTCCAAAGAGACAGCCCCGTTCGTTCCTCCTCTTTAAGCGTTACCGATATTTCACTGGCGGGGGTCAGTTTGCCAACTGATGTTAACACAACACAGAAAGTCAAAAGCCACTTCCTTTCATCCACCAGACATTAAACCGTCTGTCATCGGAAGGGTCTGCTACCAACTGACACAACAAAACCATGTGTGCAAAAACTGAAGGCAGTTATGGGAGATCCTCCTGGCTGAAATCCTGGATCCACTCATTCCGAAGCCGTTCCAGGGGTGGCGGGAAGGGGATCCTCTTCTCCCCCAGCTAATGCAGAGCAGATTTCCCCTCTCAGGAGGAGGAACCGGGAAGGAAGTTATTGGGTTGCAAGGAGAGGTTTTGTTACAACACAAATAAATTGGACAGAAATTAACTTTATCTATGTAAAAATGTCTATCTCCACTTTTTTAGTGCATCTGTGCCAGTTTAAGTTACCGATTCTTAAAAATTGCTACTGGGAGTAGGATAAAGGTCTTACGAGATAAAAAAAAAACTGGAGAAGAGGAAGAGTTACTACCTGATGCAACTAAGCAGCTCCCTCTGCTCTTTTAAACAAATTCTTATTGGTTGATTGGATTTATATAGCTGCCCAATTCCCCTGCGTGTGATTCTGGACTAGGTACAGGTAGTCCTCAGATTACAACCACAACTGAGCCCAAAACCTCTGTTGCCAAGTGAGAAATTCGTTAAGTGAGCTGTGCCCCATTTTACCACCTTTCTTGTGACAGTTGATAAGTGAATCACTGCAGTTCTTCAATTAGGAACATGGTCGTTAAGTGGATCTGGCTTCCCCGTTCACTTTACTCGTCAGAAGGTTGAAAAAGGGGATCGCGTGATGCCAGGACACTGTGACCGTCGTTAAGTGTGAGTCAGTTGTCAAGCATCCAAATGTAAATCACATGACCATGGTGATGCTGCAACGGTCGTGTGAAAAATGGTCATGAGTCAACTTTTTTCAGTGTAGTTGTAACTCTGAACAGTCACTAAATGAACAGTTGTTAAGTCGAGGACCACCTGTACACAACTGAAACAAAACAGTATCATTTATCCATTAATGAGTTCAATTAGCCTGCGGTGGCTAATCAGAGGGTGTAAGGCAAGGAAGTCATGGAAATCAGGAGGCCTCTCTCTCCCATTTTTACAGGGCAGCTGGCCAAAGACCAGCTAGTGACAGCTTTGCAACTGTCTCCCTCTCCACCTCCAACCAGGCTGGATATACGAGCAGTGAAGGAACCTCCACAAGAACACAACTGTGGTCCACAATTATTAAAAAAAAAAACCAACCACATGGATGCCCCACTAGCCTGAGCTCAACTTAATGGGCATTTGTATCCTTATCCCCCTTCCCCAACAGAAGTATTTGAAAGCCATCTTTGGCGTCGATTCTGGTTTCTCGGGATCAAGCAGGAACCACACCAAACTCATTGCCATCATTTCCTCTCCTCTGCCCACGAACTTGGGGACCTTCTGACCTGAAACAAGTCTACCCTGCAGTAAGGCTTCCAGAGGGACTTTCCTCACGAAAGGGTGACGTCCCCAACAATCCCTTGGTCAGAAGGGAAATCCACTTGGATCTATCCTGAAGAAGCCTCCTATGGCACAGATCCACAGACGAGGCTCCCCGCCCTCCATTTCAGGGGGTGAGCCATAGAGGAAGGGTGAACGGTGGGAGAGCTCATGGCCCTTTGTGCACGGGAGTGAACTGTTGATGTGATTTTTGCATGTGCATTTGGGGAAGATTCCTCCACGTCTTTGACTGTATCTTTGAAGCACCACCTGCTTTTTTGGGGGGGAGGGGAGAGTTATCTGAAAGTTTTCAAGTGTTTTAAACACATAAATAAAAATCTCCTCTCTTATTTTCTTATATTATGAACACTGGCTGAGATAATGATGACAAATTGATAGAAAACAACCATATCCATAGATCCAGATGACCGAGATTCAAGGTTTTGTAGAGACAAAAGAGGAAAGCCATGAACCTTCCTGTAAAACCATGTAAAACATCCCTAGGTTGGGTTGTGGTAGAAGAGGAATGGAAAATGTCCAATATGCAGTATATTTTTTAATGAATTACATTAAGTTTCCAAAAATCAGGCTGAGTGTCTCTTAAAGGTCGTTTACTCAAAAGCTTTACTCGAGAAAAATGACCCAACAGGGTCTTATGCAGACAAATCAAGGTTAACCCTGCCTGACTACCCTTGTTCAAAACCCTGCAGACTGGATCTGGAAGATCAGGGAGGCAAATTCTGTCCCTTTCTCTCACTCAGGAGAAGCCGAATCACTGAGCAGAGGGAAAAGTCCATAATTAACACATCATCAAACAATGGAGGAATGACCACCAACCGAGAGAGCTTTAAAAGAGGATTAGACAAATTCATTGAGGTTATTCA